AATTATAGTTACTACAGTAGTTACTACAATAATTACAGTGATTACTACAGTAATTATAGTTACTACAATAGTTACTACAATAATTACAGTGATTACTACAGTAATTATAGTTACTACAGTAGTTACTACAATAATTACAGTGAATACTTCAGTAATTATAGTTACTACAGTAGTTACTACAATACTTACAGTGATTACTTCAGTAATTATAGTTACTACAGTAGTTACTACAATAATTACAGTGATTACTTCAGTACTTATAGTTACTACAGTAGTTACTACAATAATTACAGTGATTACTTCAGTAATTATAGTTACTACAGTAGTTACTACAATAAGTACAGTGATTACTACAGTAATTATAGTTACTACAGTAGTTACTACAATAATTACAGTGATTACTTCAGTAATTATGTTACTACAGTAGTTACTACAATACTTACAGTGATTACTTCAGTAATTATAGTTACTACAGTAGTTACTACAATAATTACAGTGATTACTTCAGTAATTATAGTTACTACAGTAGTTACTACAATACTTACAGTGATTACTTCAGTAATTATAGTTACTACAGTAGTTACTACAATAATTACAGTGATTACTACAGTAATTATAGTTACTACAGTAGTTACTACAATAATTACAGTGATTACTACAGTAATTATAGTTACTACAGTAGTTACTACAATAATTACAGTGATTACTTCAGTAATTATAGTTACTACATTAGTTGGCAATATATATTGCCATTGTGTCGGTATTTTATACCATTTATTTCTACTACAGTAGTTACTACAATAATTACAGTGATTACTTCAGTAATTATAGTATTTACTAGAGTAATTACATTAATTAGTCCAGTAATTACAGTGACTGGTATTCTAGTCTAGAAGTTTTAATGAAGTTCTGGATGAGTGTTTGTTGACTGTGATGTGCTCTTGATCAGAGGAGTTAGAGCTACCCTCCTCTTTCTTGGATCAAACCTAATCCAAGGAAGAGGAGGGTAAGTTTAATAATAATAATCAGTATAATAATAATCAGTATAATAATAATCATAATAATAATAATAATAATAATAATAATAATAATAATAATAATAATGGCGTAATAAAGAATAAAGATTTTATTTTTTTTAATTTTATTTCCAGACAAGATACATATTTTGTTTATTAATTTAATATTTAGATAAAAGTCGGTGAAATTTTAAGATGTGTGTTTGTGTGTGTGTGTGTGATCTGTGTGTGTGTTTTGTGTGTTTGTGTGTGTGTGTGTGTGTGTGTGTGTGTGTGATCTGTGTGTGTGTGTGTTTTGTGTGTGTGTGATCTTGTGTGTGTGTTTGTGTGTTTGTGTGTTTGTGTGTTGTGTGTGTGTGTGTGTGTGTGTGTGTGTGTGTGTGTGTGTGTGTGTGTGTGATCTGTGTGTGTGTGTTTGTGTTTCATCCGTTGGGACGATGTCAGTCAGATGGTCACCATGCAGTCAGGCAGATGGTCACCGTGCAGTTAGACAGATGGTCACCGTGCAGTCATCAGTTAGATGGTCACCATGCAGTCAGTCAGATGGTCACCATGCAGTCAGTCAAATGGTCACCATGCAGTCAGGCAGATGGTCACCGTGCAGTCATCAGTCAGTCAGATGGTCACCATGCAGTCAGTCAGATGGTCACCATGCAGTCAGTCAGATGGTCACCATGCAGTCAGACAGATGGTCACCATGCAGTCAGGCAGATGGTCACCATACAGTCAGGCAGATGGTCACCATGCAGTCAGACAGATGGTCACCATGCAGTCAGACAGATGGTCACCATGCAGTCAGACAGATGGTCACCATACAGTCAGGCAGATGGTCACCATACAGTCAGGCAGATGGTCACCATGCAGTCAGGCAGATGGTCACCATGCAGTCAGACAGATGGTCACCATGCAGTCAGACAGATGGTCACCATACAGTCAGGCAGATGGTCACCATACAGTCAGGCAGATGGTCACCATGCAGTCAGGCAGATGGTCACCATGCAGTCAGGCAGATGGTCACCATGCAGTCAGACAGATGGTCACCATGCAGTCAGGCAGATGGTCACCATGCAGTCAGACAGATGGTCACCATGCAGTCAGACAGATGGTCACCACTCTTCTCATAGGATAATCAGCCTGGGAGGATAAATGCCACCTTTGGCTGGTTATAGTTGTATCCGGCTGTAGTGGTGCAAGGCAAGGCTGTGGTGCGGGTCACCGTGACCTCCCGACCTCCTGCCACGGTGCTGGTGATCACATTAGTGCGTGTGATGGTGGTCACCTGCTGCGTGGTGCTCACGTCTCCCCTCCTGGTCACCGTGGAGGTCACAGTGTAAGTGACGTAATTAGTGACATCTGAGCCTTGTTCTGGCACCGTCCTGGTGACGGTGACGACTTGTAGGACAGTGGTGGGCACCACCTGGGTGCTGTAGCGGGTGGTGGTGACAGTGGAGACAATCGACTGGGTCTGGTAGCTGGTTGTAGTCAGCTGCTGGATGGTCAGCTGGGTGGTGGTACGAGTCTGCAGCTGGGTGTTGGTCTCCACCTGGGTGATCAAGGTGGTCATCACTATTGTGCTGATGACAGTGCTCCTGACGGTGTTCACTTGCGTGGACACCACCGTGGAGGTGACGCCAGGTTGCGTCACTGTCCGCGTCTGGTAGGTCGTGGACACCTGCGTCACCACCTGGGTTTGCGTCTGGCCTGGGAGAGTTATCGTCACTACTGTGGTCTGCACCTGCGTCTCCACCTGTGTGCTGGTGACAGGTCTATGAGTCGTAGTGACCACTTCGGTCCGTGTTCCGGTCTGCGTGCGCGTGTAGGTAGTAGGTACGACCTGTGTGGATGTTAGCGTGGTCGTGGTGGTCTTTCCCACGGTGCTGATGACCGTTGATACCTCTGTGACGACCTGAGTGATCGTTGTCACGCGGGTGCTCGTGTCGGTGACGGTGATAGTATTTCCTGGACGGGTGGTGACGCCTGTCTGAGTGACGGTGATCACTTGCGTCGAGATTAGTGTAGTGTAGACAGTGGAGGGGAGACCCACGGTGGTGTGACGTGTGGTGTACACAGTGGACACCTCACGCTGTGTACTAGTCACTGTTTTCGTCTGAGTCTGCGTGGTGACGGTGGACTGCGTCCTCCCGGTGTACGACGTGACGACGGTAGTCTGCGTCTGCGTCTCCGTTTCCGGGACGCAGGGCTCCTGGGGCGGTGGGAGGTAGGACCCAAGGAAGTCCTGCGCGCCGGAGAAGAGGTCATTGGAGGACTCTGGGAAGAGCTGCCTGCCGCTGCCTGGAGGTATGCCGGGGATGGTAGGCAGCTTGGCAGCCAGGGAGGTCCCTGCCAGAGCCAGCAACACCAGCAGCAGTGTGTGCATCGTCCTGCAATGATAAAAAACAAATCATCTCCGAGCCATCATTTATACGTCAACATTTATGACAGTATTACTAATACTAGCACAGGGAAGTTCGCTAGGTGCTGTATGATACATGAGTCATACAACACCCGAGGAATGGGAGGCATTCAGTATGAGTCCAAAGGATGGGAAGAACAGGCCCTGTTCCTTAGATTATGAACCCCTCAACAACACCAAGGCACCAGACCTGAGGGAATCAGTAACATGAATATATATAGCCGTTGTAGTGCCTTGATGCTGAGATGACTATAATAAACACTAAACTGAACAACATTCTCCTACTTATCTGCCTCTCATTCCCAAGGTGCTGTAAGTTCCTTAAGGGTCGAGCAGATCACTATGAATATAATCGAGTAATAACAAAGTGGTGAATACTTACCATATACTTGCTGCGCCTGAGAGTACCTGAACTCTTCTGTTATTAGGGAAAAAGCAACAGGTCTCAGAAGTTATGATTTATTTTACAAATTTATATTTCCCGATTCATAATGTCGACAACATACACGTACACAGAGATATATAAACTCAGTTTTACACCTGCACTCCAATAATATATTTCAGGTTATATTTTCGGTTTGCGGAAGAATCACAAGTAATAAAGTGGAACAAAGGCCACTGATGGATGTACTTTAAGCACTCAAGACACTCTTCTCTGACACATAACACACGAAGGAAGTATGTGCCCGTGTTCTACTGAATGAAAACATACGCCAGATTCCATTTACACCCTGAATTCCTTCAAATTGTTCACTCTGTAATCTTTTAAGATTTTCATCAATATATATATATATATATATATATATATATATTATATATATATATATATATATATATATATATATATATATATGATTAAAATACATGTTAAAGACTTGGGAATCTTTATTGATGCATAAAATACATGTGCAATATTTGAGTTTCTCCTGCACAACAGGCTTCTTCAGTCGAATACAGGTGAATACGACACTGAAGACTATAGAAGTAGTTTTGATGGGATTATTCCGTCACTATTGGTAGGAGGTGGTCAGTCCCTCAAATCTTAAGGGACTGACTACGTCCTACCAAGAGTGACGGACACATCACGTTAAAACTACTGCAGTTTCCAGTATTGTATCCACTTGTATCCGACTGAAGAAGCCTGTTGTGGAAGAGATAAGTTTCGTCAGTAAAGTTACCCAAGTATTGCACGTGTATTATTCATCAATAAAGATACCCAAATGTTGCCCCTTGGTGTCTTATTCATCAACTAGTGGGTATTGTATCTCATCAATAATGTCAAAATAATTATCATTCTGAGTGGACCCAAGTGAGGATGATACCTTATTATTACCCTAAATAAATTATTCCTTTTTATTTATAAACTCATGAAAATCTTTAAAAATAAATATTCTGAAAAACAATCTCTCGTCTCTAATAATGAACACGGAGCCGCAACAGCTGTTTGTTGTGTTTGGTTGTGTTTGTGTGGGGAGAACGATGCTTTTTTTGCAGTCTGTGTAGGACTTTGTGGTGTGTGTGTTTGTTTGTGTGTGTGTGTGTGTGTGTGTGTGTGTGTGTGTGTGTGTGTGTCTTTGTGCTTGTGAATGTGGAGCTTAAGTTTTCATTTTTTGTGTGTGGAAGAGTATGTTGTGTATGGAAGGCTATGTTGTGTATAGAAGTCTATGATATGTATGGGTGGCTATGTTGTGTGTGGAAGTCTATGTTGTGTATGGAACGCTATATTGTATGTGGAAGGCTATGTTTTGTGTGAAACGCTGTGTTCGTGGAAGACTATGTTGTGTGTGGAAGACTATGTTGTGTATGGAAGTCTATGTTGTGTATGGATGGCTATGTTGTGTATGGAAGGCTATGTTGTGTATAGAAGGCTATGTTGTGTATAGAAGTCTATGTTGTGTATGGATGGCTATGTTGTGTGTGGAAGACTATGTTGTGTGTGGAAGTCTATGTTGTGTATAGAAGGCTATGTTGTGTGTAGAAGTCTTTGTTGTGTGTGGAAGTCTATGTTGTGTATAGAAGGCTATGTTGTGTATGGAAGGCTATGTTGTGTATGGAAGGCTATGTTGTGTATGGAAGGCTATGTTGTGTATGGAAGGCTATGTTGTGTATGGAAGTCTATGTTGTGTATGGAAGGCTATGTTGTGTATGGAAGGCTATGTTGTGTGTGGAAGTCTATGTTGTGTCTGTAAGTACGAGTATTGTCAGTAATGTTACACTTGTTGACAGTGGTCCCTCGAAGCTAATTAGGAAACTCGAAGGGAATTGCTGGAGCCTGGTAGTTGTAGGCTGTCTTAGTGCATGGTTGCTGCTCTGTCTTGGTGACTGTGATGGTCCTGTCACCACCCACGGTAATGTACACCAAGCTGTCCTTCACCTGAGTGCTCGTCACTTGCTGTGTCACCACTTGCCCTGGGAGACTGACGGTGGTCACGACGCTACTACGGATAGTCGAGGTATAAGTGGTGCCAACCCCTCCCTCCGTCTTGAGTACCGTCTGCGTGTTGACGATAGTCGTGGGTTGCAACTGCGTGGTGACCTCAGTTTGAGTGATGGTACGACTCACCACCTGGGTTGTCGTCTGGGTGACTGTAACCCGTTGAGTCTTAGTCTCATACCGTGTATCAGTGACTGTGCGGGTGATGACCGTCTTCTTGAACTGTGTACTGTCTGTGACCTTGGTGGTGGTGCTGGTGGTGTAGGTGACCTTACTGATGGTGCTGGTCTGCGTCACACTCACAGCTGGAGGTTGATAGGTGCTGGTGGTGGCCACAGTCGTGCGTTCTACGCTTGTCTTCGATACGGTGACTGTCGGTCCTGGTTTGTCGACTGTGGACTGGACCACAGAGGTCTTAGTGCTGATGCTGACCACGGGTGGCGGCTGGTACGACACAGTGTTCGTCACCACTCGCTCGATCGTCGTGACCGAAGTCGTCGGCACCACAGATGTCTCCACGTTTGTTCTGATGACCACAATGTCGCTGGTGGTGGAAGATCTCACAGTCGAGGTGGTGGTTTTCTGGATTTCTTGTGAGCTGGTGACTGTTGTCAACACGGTCTGGGTGGTTTCTGGACCTGAGACGGTGTTAGTGACTGATCTTACCACCTCGCTTGTTATCGTCTTCCTGACAGTTTCAGTGTTTATCTGTGGTCTGGACACTGTCTCCGTCCTGGTGACTGTGGTAGGGACGACCTGGGTGGTATATTTCGTGGTGCTGCTCGTTCTGATCACCGTGGACGTCCTCGTCACGACGCTGGACGACACCACGACGGAGGTGTAAGTGGATGTTTCATAGATAGGGTCACAGGTGGTAGGTTCCCTAGGGGGCAGATAGCCATCTAAAGCCCCAGCGAAGTCCCTGGCAGCTGACCCTGCAGGAGGGCCGGGGAAGAGCTTGTCGGCGCCGGCAGAAGCAATCACCACCAGCAGGAGTGAGAGACACAGCGGCCGCATCCTGCAAGAGACACCAGGTTAAGGGGCGTGGTCACGCGGGGCAGAGGGCGGGGCCCCGGGATCCACCCCTTTCCTGGGGTCCCATCACGCCCACACCGCCCATACCTTACACCCCTGCCACCCGTCTAGAGTGGCAGGGGTGTCTGATAGGGGCATGTGTGGTCGTATGCAAGGAGGGTGTGTGGACCCGGGGCGCCCAGCTTATTTTAGGTCACTCTTACTCTCAACACTCATGTTGTCGTCCTCAACTCACTACTTACAGATAAATTGACACAAGTGCACACATGACATCCATATTCGGAACGTTTCGGTCCTGGGGCCGAATGACCAAGGTCCCAGGGCCGAAATGTATCCATGAAAATTGTCCTAAATGTATGCAAATGTGTCACTTCATCCATGTGTTGGTTAACCTGAGCGGCGTGTCCCACCAAGGCAGGTGACCCAAAGAAGAAAAAACATTCACCATCATCCATCCAGTCCCTGACTTTCCACAGGTGTATTGACGTTACAGTTCAGTATACCTTTTACCTCACTACTGACCTTTAGATGTAAGCTACCTTGCTAACACAACCTAGAAGCGGCGTGACACAGTTACCAGTAAGAAACCACGGAACGGGTAAGGTTTGAACAGATGGCGAATGAGTCTCAAAACTCACAGGCCAATGAGTTTTACGACTCAAATGCCATAGGTTCCATCTCACCTGTTCCCTGACTTATTTGCAGTCGTGTTATTACGAATTCGTGAGTCATGAGGGCAGTAATAAGGAAGTATAAATACGTACACTTACGGAAGTCCTTATTGAAGAGGTATAGCTCCTGGACCTTTGATTACATTCCATATACATGGGACTGCTAACAGTACCTAAGGAGAGGTCTTCACGGCGCTGCCAGCTCCTGATCAGCCGGGCTGTGGTGCACACGTTAGTCTACGTGCCACTGGCACCAAGAGCCTGGTCGATCGGGCCAGCAGCTAGGAAAATTGGTCTAAGACCTCGCCGCGGGTCGGTGACCTTCGAAACTGACTACAGGTAACGTAACTGCAGTTAATGAAACAAAAGATAACGTAACTACAGGTAATGTAACTGGAGGTAACGTAACTATAGGTAATGCAAATACAGGTAACGTAACTGCAGGTAATGTAACTGGAGGTAACGTAACTACAGGTAATGTAACTGGAGGTAACGTAACTACAGGTAATGTAAATACAGGTAACGTAACTACAGGTAATGTAACTGGAGGTAACGTAACTACAGGTAATGTAAATACAGGTAACGTAACTGCAGGTAATGTAACTGGAGGTAACGTGACTACAGGTAATGTAACTGCAGGTAATGTAACTGGAGGTAACGTAACTGCAGGTAATGTAACTGGAGGTAATGTAACTGCAGGTAATGTAACTGCAGGTAATGTAACTGAAGGTAATGTAACTGGAGGTAACGTAACTGCAGGTAATGTAACTGGAGGTAACGTAACTACAGGTAATGTAACTGCAGGTAATGTAACTGCAGGTAACGTAACTGCAGGTAATGTAATTGGAGGTAACGTAACTACAGGTAATGTAACTGCAGGTAATGTAACTGCAGGTAATGTAACTGCAGGTAATGTAACTGGAGGTAACGTAACTGCAGGTAATGTAACTGCAGGTAATGTAACTGCAGGTAATGTAACTGCAGGTAATGTAACTGCAGGTAATGTAACTGGAGGTAACGTAACTGCAGGTAATGTAACTGGAGGTAACGTAACTGCAGGTAATGTAACTGGAGGTAACGTAACTACAGGTAATGTAACTGCAGGTAATGTAACTGCAGGTAACGTAACTGCAGGTAATGTAACTGGAGGTAACGTAACTACAGGTAATGTAACTGAAGGTAATCAGTAACTTTAACTCTGTAGTATACTATAAGTATGAATAACAGGTTAACCAAACTCTACATAACCGCTGAATGACCCACACGGGTTTACCGCTGCTCCACTAAGGTGAATGACTTACCATCATTTTTCAATATACGACCAGCGAAGCATAAAGAAAAAACCGGAAATGAAGTTGTTCTTCAGTTTTGTCAGGATATTCCTGGCATTAAGTCTTAATTATTACACAATTGAAATGTGAACGATGTTGTCTGTGAGAAAGATGAGATCTACACTCTCTTGTGTGTGGGAAATATGTGACGTACACTCTCTTATTGGTGAGAAAGATGGGACCTACACTCTCTTATTGGTGAGAAAGATGGAACTTACACTCTCTTATTGGTGAGAAAGATGGGACCTACACTCTCTTATTGGTGAGAAAGATGGAACTTACACTCTCTTATTGGTGAGAAAGATGGGACCTACACTCTCTTATTGGTGAGAAAGATGGGACCTACACTCTCTTATTGGTGAGAAAGATGGGACCTACACTCTCTTATTGGTGAGAAAGATGGAACTTACACTCTCTTATTGGTGAGAAAGATGGGACCTACACTCTCTTATTGGTGAGAAAGATGGGACCTACACTCTCTTATTGGTGAGAAAGATGGAACTTACACTCTCTTATTGGTGAGAAAGATGGGACTTACACTCTCTTATTGGTGAGAAAGATGGGACCTACACTCTCTTATTGGTGAGAAAGATGGGACCTACACTCTCTTATTGGTGAGAAAGATGGGATTTACACTCTCTTATTGGTGAGAAAGATGGGACCTATACTCTCTTATTGGTGAGAAAGATGGGACCTACACTCTCTTATTGGTGAGAAAGATGGGACTTACACTCTCTTGTTGGTGAGAAAGATGGGACCTACACTCTTATTGGTGAGAAAGATGGGACTTACACTCTCTTATTGGTGAGAAAGATGGGATTTACACTCTCTTATTGGTGAGAAAGATGGGACTTACACTCTCTTATTGGTGAGAAAGATGAGATTTACACTCTCTTATTGGTGAGAAAGATGGGACCTACACTCCCTTATTGGTGAGAAAGATGGGACTTACGCTCTCTTATTGGTGAGAAAGATGGGACTTACACTCTCTTATTGGTGAGAAAGATGGGACTTACACTCTCTTATTGGTGAGAAAGATGGAACTTACACTCTCTTATTGGTGAGAAAGATGGGACTTACACTCTCATATTGGTGAGAAAGATGGGACTTACACTCTCTTATTGGTGAGAAAGATGGGACTTACACTCTTATTGGTGAGAAAGATGGGACTTTTCACTCGTTTAGGATAAAGATGCGACATACACTCTCTTGTCCGTGGACAAAATAAGAATTTCTCATTTACCTGTGTCAGACAAAATGATCAATTGAGCATCAGTCTGTTCCTGTGCTACCATCTATGGGATAGATGAGGAGTTGCTCATCTTTGCTTTCTCACTTGACGGGACATGATATCTCCTCCCTCAGCATCTCTTCCCTTCTGTCTACTTTCAAGTGAGCAGAATCATTATTTCCAGTCATCTCGTAACATGAGATGCCTGCTCTTGAAGCTGTATATAAAGTTATTCTTAAAACAGTGTGTTGGTTGTGTTTTATATTGTGTGTTTGTGGTGGGAGTGATGGGGTTTACAAGCCCCCTCCTTCCCCTCCTTCCTTACCAGGTTGAGGTCGTGCTAATGTTTGTTTGCTCCCAGCCAACGATGACAATTGTAAAACATGTGTATTCATGATGCGTAACTTCAAACTTTGAATTAAAAATTGTCTTACAACAAACACACGTTTTCTTACGACAAACACACGTTTTCTTACGACAAACACACGTTTTCTTACGACAAACACACGTTTTCTTACGACAGACATATTAATTTGTAGTTTATTTGCCAAATACGCTTTATGGCTTGACCATTATTTGACTTTATATAAAAATCACTTTCATCATTCACGAAAGATATATATATATATATATATATATATATATATATATATATATATATAGGTAGTAGATTGGTAGACAGGAACCACCCAAGTGAGTGTAAAACGAAAGCCTGTAATTGCTGTACATGATGGTAGGATTGCTGGTGTCCCTTTTTCTGTCTCATTAACATGCAAGATTTTTGGTACATCTTGCTACTTCTACTTACACTTAGGTCACACTACACATACATGTACAAGCATATATATACACACCCCTCTGGGTTTTCTTCTATTTTCTTTCTAGTTCTTGTTCTTGTTTATTTCCTCTTATCTCCATGGGGAAGTGGAACAGCATTCTTCCTCCGTAAGTCATGCGTGTCGTAGGAGGCGACTAGAATGCCGGGAGCAAGGGGCTAGTAACCCCTTCTGTATAAATTACTAAATTTAAAAAGAAAAATTTTGGTTTTCTTTTTGGGCCACCCTGCCTTGGTGGGTTACGGCCAGTGTGTTGAAAGATATGTATATATATATATATATATATATATATATATATATATATATATATATATATATATATATATATATTATATAACATGTCACTGGTTGTACCCACCACCTGCATGATACAAGCAACATGAGACTGGTTGTACCCACCACCTGCATGATACAAGCAACATGAGACTGGTTGTACCCACCACCTGCATGATACAAGCAACATGAGACTGGTTGTACCCACCACCTGCATGATACAAGCAACATGAGACTGGTTGTACCCACCACCTGCATGATACAAGCAACATGAGACTGGTTGTACCCACCACCTGCATGATACAAGCAACATGAGACTGGTTGTACCCACCACCTGCATGATACAAGCAACATGAGACTGGTTGTACCCACCACCTGCATGATATAAGCAACATGAGACTGGTTGTACCCACCACCTGCATGATACAAGCAACATGAGACTGGTTGTACCCACCACCTGCATGATACAAGCAACATGAGACTGGTTGTACCCACCACCTGCATGATACAAGCAACATGAGACTGGTTGTACCCACCACCTGCATGATACAAGCAACATGAGACTGGTTGTACCCACCACCTGCATGATACAAGCAACATGAGACTGGTTGTACCCACCACCTGCATGATACAAGCAACAT